CTAACGCGTTTCAGTCAGGATGCACGCAACACTAACGCGTTTCAGTCAGGATGCACGCAACACTAACGCGTTTCAGTCAGGATGCAAGCAACACTAACGCGTTTCAGTCAGGATGCACGCAACACTAACGCGTTTCAGTCAGGATGCAAGCAACACTAACGCGTTTCAGTCAGGATGCACGCAACACTAACGCGTTTCAGTCAGGATGCAAGCAACACTAACATGTTTTAGTCAGAATGCACGCAACACTAACGCGTTTCAGTCAGGATGCAAGCAACACTAACGCGTTTCAGTCAGGATGCAAGCAACACTAACGCGTTTCAGTCAGGATGCACGCAACACTAACACGTTTCAGTCAGGATGCACGCAACACTAACGTGTTTCAGTCAGGATGCAAGCAACACTAACGCGTTTCAGTCAGGATGCAAGCAACACTAACGCGTTTCAGTCAGGATGCACGCAACACTAACGCGTTTCAGTCAGGATGCAAGCAACACTAACGCGTTTCAGTCAGGATGCAAGCAACACTAACGCGTTTCAGTCAGGATGCAAGCAACACTAACGCGTTTTAGTCAGAATGCACGCAACACTAACGCGTTTCAGTCAGGATGCAAGCAACACTAACGCGTTTCAGTCAGGATGCAAGCAACACTAACGCGTTTCAGTCAGGATGCAAGCAACACTAACACGTTTCAGTCAGAATGCACGCAACACTAACACGTTTCAGTCAGGATGCAAGCAACACTAACGCGTTTCAGTCAGAATGCACGCAACACTAACGCGTTTCAGTCAGAATGCACGCAAGACTAACGCATCTCAGCCAACTATAAAAAACTATATTGAAATAAAAGGGGTTCTGTTTCGCTTAGCAAAAAATTCTCTATATCAGATCGCTATATAGCAGCAGTCCTAACTGTGAATTACTAAACACAGAATCTTAAATATTTCAAAAATTTAGCGCGGTCCATTTTTGAAACATATAAGAAACTATAAGTAAGGTCGTGTTTGACCGAAACGCATTAGTGTTGCGTGCATTCTCACTGAAACGCGTTAGTGTTGCGTGCATTCTCACTGAAACGCATTCATGTTGCTTGCATTCTGGAACTGTTTTTACTCCGCATCTGAATAACATTTCTACAGTCCTTCCTCACCTTGTTGCCGATCCCATATGATGTGATTTGCTGGTTCAGTGGATGGAAAGCGCAGGAGTCGCACGGTGAGATATACTCCTTATGAAAAGCATGCTGTGCGGGTTGCAGCACCTATTCTTTGTATGTGTGACTATCTGCTCCATGACAATCCCCGATTCATCCCTCCTAAATATACTATATACACTCAGCTGCCACTTTATTAGGTCCGCCTGTTCCATTGCTTAGTAACACAAATTGCTAATCAGCCAATCACATGGCAGCAACTCAATGCATTTAGGCATCTATATGTGGTGAAGACGACTTGCTGAAGTTCTAACCGAGCATCAGAATGGGGAAGAAAGGGGATTTCAGTGACTTTGAGCATGGCATGGTTGTTGGTGCCAGACAGGCTGGTCTGAGTATTTCAAAAACTGCTGATCTCCTGGGATTTTCACTCAACCATCTCTAGGGTGTACAGAGAATGGTCCGAAGAAGAGAAAATATCCAGCGAGCTGCAGTTGTGTGGAGGAAAATGTCTTGCTGATGAGAATGGGCAGACTGGTTTGAGGTGATAGAAAGGCAACAGTAACTCAAACAACCACTCGTTACAACCAAGGTATGCAGAATACCATCTCCGAACGCACAACACGTGGAACCTTGAAGCAGATGGGCTACAGCAGCAGAAGACCACACTGGGTGCCATTCCTGTCAGCTAAGAACAGGAAACGGAGGCTACAATTCGCAGAGGCTCAGCAAAATTGCACAATAGAAGATTGGAAAACTGCCTGGTCTGATGAGTCTGGATTTCAGCTGCAACATTCAGATGGTCGGGTCAGAATTTGGCGTAAACAACATTAAAGCATGGATCCATCCTGCCTTGTATCAACGGTTCAGGCTGGTGGTGGTGTCATGGTGTGGTGGATCCATCCTGCCTTGTATCAACGGTTCAGGCTGGTGGTGGTGGTGTCCTGGTGTGGTAGATCCATCCTGCCTTGTATCAACGGTTCAGGCTGGTGGTGGTGGTGGTGTCATGGTGTGGTGGATCCATCCTGCCTTGTATCAACGGTTCAGGCTGGTGGTGGTGGTGTCATGGTGTGGTGGATCCATCCTGCCTTGTATCAACGGTTCAGGCTGGTGGTGGTGGTGGTGTCATGGTGTGGTGGATCCATCCTGCCTTGTATCAACGGTTCAGGCTGGTGGTGGTGGTGTCACGGTGTGGTGGATCCATCCTGCCTTCTATCAACGGTTCAGGCTGGTGGTGGTGGTGTCATGGTATGGTGGATCCATCCTGCCTTGTATCAACGGTTCAGGCTGGTGGTGTCATGGTGTGGTGGATCCATCCTGCCTTCTATCAACGGTTCAGGCTGGTGGTGGTGGTGTCATGGTGTGGTGGATCCATCCTGCCTTCTATCAACGGTTCAGGCTGGTGGTGGTGGTGTCCTGGTGTGGTGGATCCATCCTGCCTTGTATCAACGGTTCAGGCTGGTGGTGTCATGGTGTGGTGGATCCATCCTGCCTTGTATCAATGGTTCAGGCTGGTGGTGGTGTCACGGTGTGGTGGATCCACCCTGCCTTGTATCAATGGTTCAGGCTGGTGGTGTCATGGTGTGGAGGAGATTTTCTTGGCACGCTTTGGGCTCCTTTGTTCTAATTGGTCGCCACAGCCTACCTGAGTATTGTTGCTGACCATTTCCATCCCTTTCTGACTCCAGTGTCCCCATCTTCTGATGGCTCCTTCCAGCAGGATAATGCTCCATGTCACAAAGCTCAAATCATCTCCAATTGGTTTCCTGAACATGACAATGAGGTCACTGGACTCCAATGGCCTCCACAGTCACCAGATCTCCATCCAATAGAGCACCTTTGGGATCTGGAGGAATGGGAGATTCCCATCATGGATGTGCAGCCGACAAATCTGCAGCAACTGTGTGATGTTCTCATGTCAATATGGACCAAAATCTCTGTGGAATGTTCCCAACACCTTGTTGAATCTTCGCCAAGAAGAATGAAGGCATTTCTGAAGGCAAAAAGGTGTCCAACCCGGTTCTAGCAAGGTGGACCTAATAAAGTGGCCAGTAAGTGTATATTTATATATAGGGGTGTATTTACTGTGAGGCAAATAAGGCAGTTGCCTTGGGAAGCACAGGGGACAGAACGGCGGGAAATTTGAAAATTGTAAAAGTGACATTCACTAAATCCACTAAAATCACATAGTATAACATTCCTGTATCAAACCATTTCACATACATTTTGTCCCGAGTGCTTTGTCCGGCGCCCTGCCTGCATTTTTACTGTTCTTTCTGCCCGGAAACTGAGAAACGTCCATGGCGTCCAAAAAGCGTCCCTTTAGGTCAAAAGCGGTTTTAGACCGGCTAGAGAACAGCGATAGTAAATCAGAACCACTTGCAGAATTGAGTGATAATGATTCGTGGGGGAAATTCCTCATCAGACACTGAAAACGATTCTGCGACTTTGCTCAGTGATGTGCGAACTTGGCGCTATATTTCACATTTCAGTGTTTTTGGTTTGATTATATTATTGAATTAAATTTATTATTATTATATTATTATTTTTTATGATTATTTATTAAATTATAATTTATGATTTCGTGTTTCAAATTTTATCATCCCCGGGATGTTTACTAGACTCTTGTTCGGACAGATTTCAGTGAGTTATTCCTAAAAATTACAGGCCTAAAATAAAAAAAATACATATTTCCATGCAAAAAAATGTACTGCTTTGAGCACAGAAATATGGACATAATCAGACCACTAGGGAGGCTACGCACCCTGTTGGAGGGTTTGGTGAGATATCAGGGGTCTAAACAGACCTTTGATGTTTCTCTGTTGCGACAGAGAAAAGAGATTGAGGACACAACCCTTAATCTCCTTCTCTCTAGTCTCAGCCTCTCAGAATTTATGGACAGGAATAGCTCTGTACAGATCTTCCCGTTCATTCATAAACTGAAGCATAGTAAACACAGTCAGAGATCGGTACGGATATTCATTAAAGCGGAGTCCCACTCACTCTGTGAAAAAATAAAAGTCAGCAGCTACAAAAACTGTACAAAAACTGTAGTTGTTGACTTTTAAAAAACAGCCACTTACCTGTCCCTCGGTCCCGCAGTGTGTTCCCCGCACCCCGTTTCACCGGCTGTCCTAAATTCCAGAAGGCCGACATCTTCAGTGTGGGCCCCTGGCTGTGACAGCTTGCGGCTTCACAGCCGGGTACCCACTGCGCATGCGCGAGTAGTGCTGCGCTTCATGAAGCGATCGGACCGGAAGTGGGTACCTGTCAAATTCGGGTACCCGCTCCTCCCTGCCCCCCAACGGTGCCAATCCTTAATGGGAAGTGGGGGAGCAGTCCTTAAAGCAGAGCTTCCCCTTTTGGGTGGAGCTCTACTTTAAGTCTAGGTTCACACCTATGCAGAGTGCGTTTGATGAGTTTCTGCATTGCATTTTGCGTTTTTGCACTTGCATTTTTGCTGCGTTTTTGATGTATTTTCCAGTTGTTTTTCTTTCTTGTTGCTAGGCAGATTGTAAACACAAAATGCAGCAAAAACGCAGCAAAAAACGCAATACATGCTTTTCTGCAGCGTTCCCATTGAAGTCTATAGAACCAAAAACGCAACGTTGTGCGTTCAAAAAAGTCCCTTAACCCTTTCCAAAAAACGCACCGGGTGAAAACGCGGACATGTGAGCGTGTCCCATAGGATATCATGTTAAATGGACTGTACTACGTTTCTGCAAAACGCTGCAGAAAACGTTTAGGTGTGAACCCGGAGTTACACTCTCTGAATCAAAGTCGCATCAAAGTAGTGCAGGCGCCTTTTAAAAGTTGCTGCAGCTGTAAGTTGTACCGATTTGAACTGGGTGCCATTGAAAAGAATGGGCTCTGACTTGTCACGTGACTTTGATGCCCAAAGTCGCATGACAAGTCGCACAAGTGTGAATGGAGCCTAAGTCAGTAACGATGCATGGATAACACCCAGGGGCGGACTGACCATTTGGAAACTCGGGCACTGCACGAGGGCCCGGGGTCAGTAGGGGGCCCCATGAGATGCCCCTGGTACCTTTTTCATAGGCTTTTTTGAGTTTGGGCAAGGACACAGGGGCCGCATGATCCCCTATTGCCCATGGGCCCCATGAGTTGTCAGTCCGCCCCTGCAGGGGCCCCATGATCCCCTATTGCCCGGGGGCCCCATGAGTTGTCAGTCCGCCCCTGATAACACCCCTACAAATGCAGTCCTTAGTTATAGATGCACACAGGATCAGCGTTCTATAATAAACAGTCCTCCCTCAGATGCGTCTCCTCCGAGGTATCGCTGGTAGTATACTGCGCTGGAACAATTCCGATAAGATAACGTCTTCCCGTGTAGGGAGCTCTTATCTTATCGCTAGATTATCGCTCCGTTGGATGAATAGTGATGTTATTTGGGGACATGATTGGTAATGTGCTCGTTACTGCAACACGCATTTATCCCGGTATATGCGGTGCGGCATATCGCATGTGATTCGCACAGGAACCGCATCGCATTCCCTGCAAATCACATGCGAATTCTGTGCATTGCGATTGGAGCTGTACACCTTGTATGTCTCTAATCGCACCGCATCCGCACCAAAAAGGTGCAGGACCCTTTTTTTGGTCCACATGGGTATTCACACTCATGCGATCCGATTCTGCACATCGCACCGCGTTTTGCGAACCGATTTCGGGGTGTCATTAACTTAATATAGCGGTTCGCATGAACGGGGTGCGATTGTGATGCAGTGCAAAATTCGCACAGAAAACTCTACAAATTCCGCACCGTATCAGTGGGAACCCGGGCTAAGTCTAGGTTCACACCTAAGTGTTTTCCGCTGCTTTTTGCAGAAACGCACAGCAGTCCCTTTACCATGATTTCCTATGGGACAGGTTCACATCTCCGTGTTTTCACCCGGTGCGTTTTTTGGAAAGGGTCAGGGACTTTTTTAAGCGTTTTCCACTGCATTTTGCAGAAACACTGTACAACCCATTTAACTTGATTTCCTATGGGACAGGTTCACAGCTCTGCGTTTTCACCCACTGCGTTTTTTTGGAAAGGGTCAGGGACTTTTTTAAGCGCACCTAAGCGTTTTTTCCGGTGCGTTTTGCAGAAACGCTGTACAGTCCCTTTAACATGATATCCTATGGGACAGGTTCACATTTCCGCGTTTTCACCCGGTACGTTTTTTTGGAAAAGCTCAGGGACTTTTTTAAGCGCAAAATGTAGCGTTTTTGGTTCTATAGACTTCAATGGAGACGCTGCAGAAAAGCTTGTAGTGCGTTTTTTTATGTGTTTTTGCTGCGTTTTTGCAAGTGGCTGTTTTTTAAAAGTCAGCAGCTACAGTTTTTGTAGCTGCTGACTTTTATTTTTTTCACAGAGTGAGTGGAACTCGGCTCTAATGAATATCGGTACCGATCTCTGACTGACTGAGCTATTCCTGTCCATAAATTCTGAGAGGCTGAGTCTAGAGAGAAGGAGATTGAGGGCTGTGCGCTTTTGATGCGTTTTGCGTTTTAATATGCCCAGCAACAAGTAAAAAAAACCCCACAAAACACATATAAAACGAGTCAAAAACGTACATGCAAAATGCACGACAAAACGCACTGCAGAAACGGATCAAAGACAAACTGCATAGGTGTGAACCTTGCCTAAATTAGCCTGGCCAGGGGCGGACTGACAACTCATGGGGCCCCCGGGCAATAGGGGATCATGGGGCCCCTGTGTCCTTGCCCAAACTCAAAAAAGCCTATGAAAAAGGTACCAGGGGCATCTCATGGGCCCCCCTACTGACCCCGGGCCCTGAGTTTCCAAATGGTCAGTCCGCCCCTGGCCTAGGCTCACACTTGTGGGCTTTTTATACTGCATGTTTGCACTCATTTTTTTTGATGCGTTTTCATGCTTATGCATTTGTTTGTAGAAGGAAAATCCTGCCAAAAACGCACCACAAATGTGCCCAAAACACGCGCCGTACATGCATTTTACGTGTGCGCTCATTAAAGTCTACAGGGCCAGAAACACGGTATGAGTGTCTGCCTTTTTTTAAAGACTACGTTCACACTTTTGCGTTGCGGGAAAGTGCACAAAATTGTGCGCTCTCCCGCAACAAACAAAAAACACGCAGCCCGTTTGAAGACTCACGGCTGCGCCAATGATCCCTAATGGCACCTCCATGCTTCTAGCTAACGCATACGTGTTCGTGTGCCAAGGCGCATGGTAACAAAGTACCGTGCGTTTTGACGAGGTGCAAATTTCAGCCCAGGCTCACACTGATGCGCTGCAAAATTTGCCCCGGTTTCTGTGTGATTTCGGCACCGCGTCATAATCGCACCCCGTTCACACGAACCGCTGTGTAATTTAAATTGCGGACACCCAGAAATCAGTTCACAAAACGCAGTGCGATGTGCAGAATCAGATTTCATGGGTGTTCAGTGGATTCTAGTGCGGACCAAAAAAAGGGTCCTGCGTTTTTTTGGTGCAGGTGCGGTGCGATTTCACCCATACATAATGTACATCTCCAATCGCACCGCATACTAATAGCATGTGATTTGCACGGTAATGCGGTGCGTTTCCTGTGTGAATCACATGCGATGTACCGCACTGCATATATGTGAGCCCGGGCTTAAGGAACGATTCCATCAGATTTATCAGGCAGCAGGAAAGCCGACTTTCCAGGCATGAAGATGAGTCTGGCAGCCAACGGGTTAACTCTCAAGCCTGCAGGCACACACTAGACTTGAGTGCAGGGGGGGGGGGCGGGGCTCTCCAGGATATAAGGGGTGTGTCCAGGATAGAAGGGGTGTTGCCTGGGTGTAAGGGGTGTACTGGGCAGGGATAACCCTCACCAGGCTCCACCCATACTCTCAGCAAGCAGGAGGAGAGCAGCGCCTTGCAGTTTTATACTGAACTTCCCTGCTGGAGCTATGGGGGGGCTTTGACATGAGACGTTCCCCCCCATAAACAATAATAACAAGCCCTGATACTCTCTCTACAAGGACTTTTATTGGAATAAGCCCCATGCCAGCCATAGGAAAGACAGACTGACCAATCATCGCAGGAAGAAGGGGGGGCAACCGGCAAAATGAACGGCTTGGCGTTCGACGAAAGCTCCCTGGACCAGCTGGACCCGTCCCTGTGCCTCCATGAGAGCAGCGACATCGACACGGCCCTGCTGAGCGACATCGATGGTGGGTGACCAGTGCATGTTCCCCTTTAAATGATAGCAGTGTGGCTAAGGTGGTGTGATCAGGTGGTGGGGCTAGCACCCTCCGCTGGGTGGCATTTTTGGTAGGGGGGGGGGTCCCTGCACCCCTTTGTATTTGTTGATTGGTCCCTAGAACTTGCTATTGGCTTAAGTGACTTGAGGAAGTGAGAATGGGTTCACCGGATACAAAGTATCCTTGTCGGTTGGACTGGACCTGTCGGTTCACCGGATACAAAGTATCCTTGTCGGTTGGACTGGACTTGTCAGTTCACCGGATACAAAGTATCCTTGTCGGTTGGACTGGACCTGTCAGTTCACCGGATACAAAGTATCCTTGTCGGTTGGACTGGACCTGTCGGTTCACCGGATACAAAGTATCCTTGTCGGTTGGACTCTACCTGTCGGTTCACCGGATACAAAGTATCCTTGTCGGTTGGACTCTACCTGTCGGTTCACCGGATACAAAGTATCCTTGTCGGTTGGACTCTACCTGTCGGTTCACCGGATACAAAGTATCCTTGTCGGTTGGACTCTACCTGTCGGTTCACCGGATACAAAGTATCCTTGTCGGTTGGACTGGACTTGTCAGTTCACCGGATACAAAGTATCCTTGTCGGTTGGACTCTACCTGTCGGTCATCGGATACAAAGTATCCTTGTCAGTTGGACTCTACCTGTCGGTTCACCGGATACAAAGTATCCTTGTCGGTTGGACTCTACCTGGCGGTTCACCGGATACAAAGTATCCTTGTCGGTTGGACTGGACCTGTCGGTTCACCGGATACAAAGTATCCTTGTCGGTTGGACTCTACCTGTCGGTTCACCGGATACAAAGTATCCTTGTCGGTTGGACTCTACCTGTCGGTTCACCGGATACAAAGTATCCTTGTCGGTTGGACTCTACCTGGCGGTTCACCGGATACAAAGTATCCTTGTCGGTTGGACTGGACCTGTCGGTTCACCGGATACAAAGTATCCTTGTCGGTTGGACTCTACCTGTCGGTTCACCGGATACAAAGTATCCTTGTCGGTTGGACTCTACCTGTCGGTTCACCGGATACAAAGTATCCTTGTCGGTTGGACTCTACCTGGCGGTTCACCGGATACAAAGTATCCTTGTCGGTTGGACTCTACCTGTCGGTTCACCGGATACAAAGTATCCTTGTCGGTTGGACTCTACCTGTCGGTTCACCGGATACAAAGTATCCTTGTCGGTTGGACTCTACCTGTCGGTTCACCGGATACAAAGTATCCTTGTCGGTTGGACTGGACTTGTCAGTTCACCGGATACAAAGTATCCTTGTCGGTTGGACTCTACCTGTCGGTCATCGGATACAAAGTATCCTTGTCAGTTGGACTCTACCTGTCGGTTCACCGGATACAAAGTATCCTTGTCGGTTGGACTCTACCTGTCAACATTTGGTCAAATGGAAGTATTCCCACAACGTTGACACTTGCCAAGGACACTTGACTTCTCAAGAGGCACGCTTACGCTGATCTTGACTTTTTCAAAGAATTTTAACACTTTAAAAAAAAAAAATGGTTGTGTCACGATCGTATGCTTAGGTGGTATGTTACGTCCTGAAAAGGAGATCCCGAGACGAGAACCTCATTTTTAGAACCTCCATCTGTCTCTGGAATTTCAAGAACCGTTGACAACTTATGTCGATGTGCTAGGGAGGTCAGAAAGGTGTCATGGTGTTTCATGCTCCTCGCAGAACCTGGTTCCTTTCAGCTGGGACTTGTAGTCCTACAACACCAAGGTTGATTCGCCATAATAAAGGGGACAAGTTTTGAATTTTGAGGGTGTCCCATGAGGGTTGCAATTCATTGGTTTCTTTGGTCGCTTCGACACGTGTAACTGCAGGCTAGTAGCTCCTTCCTCGTGGCTGGAGTGCAAAAAAAAAAAAAAGTCCATTTGTGCCCTGTTGATATCATTTTCCCATGTGCTATTGTACATTCCCACAGGCGTCCTAGGGTTCCTCACTAAGGCCACGCCTCCAATGTGACGCAACGCAGGGTTACTGTCGGTCAGTGCCTCAGTTTTCAGTGCAGATTTGCTCCTCTGTATTGGCAGAAACAAGGATAGGCGAGAATTAGGATACATTTACGTTTTACTGTTTATGATGTGTGTTTGTTTGTTTTTTGTTTGTTTTGTTTTTTTGTTGTGGGTTTTTTTTTTGTTTTGCTTGCATGTGGTTTTTGTTTTGTTTTTTATGTGTTGTGGATATTATTATTTTTCTTATTTTTATATGTATTCTGCATCATAGCCCCAGTGCAGTCCGGGTGTTTTATATTCATTCTAGGCTGCAATAAATTCGGACCGTTTTCGTGTGTTTTGGGCAATCTGCATACAAGCAGGGAGGTGGGGGATCTTCTATCTTTGGTATCCAGTGTTAATCTAGGTTCACACCTATGCAGGTTGCGTTTGATGTGTTTCTGCATTGCGTTTTGCATTTTTGCACTTGTGTTTTTGATGTGTTTTTTTTTTTTTTTTTTTTCTTGTTGCTAGGCAGATTTTAAACGTAAAACGCAACAAAAGTGCAATACATGCTTTTCTGCAGCGTTTCCATTGAAGCATACAGAACCAAAAACACAAAGTTTTGCATTCAAAAAAGTCCCTGACCCTTTCCAAAAAAAACGCACCGGGTGAAAACGCGGAGATGTGAATCTGTCTCATAGGAAATCATGTTAAATGGACTGTACTGCGTTTCTGCAAAACGCTGCAGAAACCGCTTAGGTGTGAACGGAGGGTTAGAAAGGGTCGTCTTGTTATCTGCACTGACTTGCTTCGGTGAGGTTACTCATCTACAAACACTCCCAATGGGGGTGCTGGAAGAAGCCGAACTAAATAGAAGCAGGCTTAGGCCAGCCATAGACGAGTCAAAAAACTGACCGAAAAATTCTTGGTCGTTCGTTTTTCGTATCAATTGTGTGCCAGATACGACTTCCAATTTGTGTGTCGCAGTCGAAAGTGCCTGATGCAACATGCTGGATTTTGTTTAGAAAAATGAAACAAATGATGGCGCAATTGTATGCGTATTTTATTTTTTTTGATTGACCGACCGTTTGGTTCAGCCTTCCTTTGTTCATGCAGGTGGTAAAAACAGGCAGGTGACCCGCACTATTGTCCCCCCTCTCCAGACCATTACCTACTAAATAACATGGCGGTCCGTTCACATTGGCGCAGCCGCAATGCTTTGCTTTGTGGTGTGACCGATTTAACTCGTCTTGTTTCTATTGAAGTTTAAGGGCTCATTTTACACTTGCTTTGCTCTCTAAAGATCTGAAGAGCGATCCACGTTCGCATCGCTGTTCAGATTGTTTCACCGATGGGAAGGATTCATTGCATCGCCTACTCACTGCACTGCAATCACATGAGTTGGGTTGTTGCCTCATTTACTTGAATGGCACGGCATGGCAGAGTTCTGAAGGGATGAAATGTGACATTGCCGGCTGCATGCACTGTGATTATTTCCTAAGCCAGGGGTCTCCAAACTTTTCAAACAAAGGGCCAGTTTACTGCCCTTCAGACTTTAGGGGGGCCGGATTATGGCCAGTGGGAGTAAAAAATGTCCCGGGTCCAGCAGCAGTTAGAATAAACCTAGGCCCAGGGATGGTCAGTAGGAGGAGGAACAGCGTCCCATCATTGGTGTCAGTGGGAGGAATAGCGCCCCATCATTGGTGTCAGTGGGAGGAATAGTTCCCCATCATTGGTGTCAGTGGGAGGAATAGTGCCCCATCATTGGTGTCAGTGGGAGCAAATAGTGCTCCATCATTGGTATCAGTGGGAGGAATAGTGCCCCATCATTGGTGTCAGTGGGAGGAATAGTGCCCCATCATTGGTGTCAGTGGGAGGAATAGTGCCCCATCATTGGTGTCAGTGGGAGGAATAGTGCCCCATCATTGGTATCAGTGGGAGGAATAGTGCCCCATCATTAGTATCGGGGAGGAATAGTGCCCCATCATTGGTATCAGTGGGAGGAATAGTGCCCCATCATTGGTGTCAGTGGGAGGAATAGTGCCCCATCATTGGTGTCAGTGGGAGGAATAGTGCCCCATCATTGGTGTCAGTGGGAGGAATAGCGCCCCATCATTGGTATTAGTGGGAGGAATAGTGCCCCATCGTTGGTGTCAGTAGGAGGAGGAATAGTGCCCCATCATTGGTGTCAGTAGGAGGAGGAATAGTGCTCCATCATTGGTGTCAGTGGGAGGAATAGTGCCCCATCATTGGTATCAGTGGGAGGAATAGGGCCCATCATTGGTGTCAGTGGGAGGAATAGTGCCTCATCATTGGTATCAGTGGGAGGAATAGTGCCCCATCATTGGTATCAGTGGGGGGGAATAGTGCCCCATCATTGGTATCAGTGGGAGGAATAGTGCTCCATCATTGGTATCAGTGGGAGGAATAGTGTCCCATCATTGGTATCAGTGGGAGGAATAGTGCCCCCATCATTGGTATCAGTGGGAGGAATAGTGTCCCATCATTGGTATCAGTGGGAGGAATAGGGCCCATCATTGGTGTCAGTGGGAGGAATAGTGCCCCATCATTGGTATCAGTGGGAGGAATAGTGCCCCATCATTGGTGTCAGTGGGAGGAATAGTGCCCCATCATTGGTATCAGTGGGAGGAATAGTGTCCCATCATTGGTGTCAGTAGGAGGAGGAATAGTGCCCCATCATTGGTATCAGTGGGAGGAATAGTGCCCCATCATTGGTATCAGTGGGAGGAATAGTGCCCCATCATTGGTATCAGTGGGAGGAATAGTGCCCCATCATTGGTGTCAGTGGGAGGAATAGTGCCCCATCATTGGTATCAGTGGGAGGAATAGTGCCCCATCATTGGTATCAGTGGGAGGAATAGTGGCCCATCATTGGTATCAGTGGGAGGAATAGTGCCCCATCACTGGTATCAGTGGGAGGAATAGTGCCCCATCATTGGTATCAGTGGGAGGAATAGTGTCCCATCATTGGTGTCAGTGGGGGGAATAGTGCCCCATCACTGGTATCAGTGGGAGGAATAGTGCCCCATCATTGGTATCAGTGGAAGGAATAGTGCCCCATCATTGGTATCAGTGGGAGGAATAGTGCCCCATCATTGGTATCAGTGGGAGGAATAGTGCCCCATCATTGGTATCAGTGGAAGGAATAGTGCCCCATCATTGGTATCAGTGGGAGGAATAGTGCTCCATTGTTGGTGTCAGTGGGAGGAATAGCGCCCCATTGTTGGTGACACTGTCCTAAGCCGTGCAAGTTTAGGAGATATTCACTGTACCTAGAGGTGAACCTTTATTATAGGCTTACCTGTAGCTGCAAGTTAAAAAATACTTGCCTTCTGCTTTAATGGGACCAGGACATTGGGGTTCGGTATTGAACTGCATAATTCCTCTTGGGATTAGAAAAAAAAACGAAACCAGGCATTCAGAAGGTACAATCACCTCCTGAAAACCTGGAACCACCACCAAGGATCACTTTTCAGAGGAGTGGTAAACAAGGCTTATGTGCACCCCACAAATATACAAAGTCTTCGTTTACATGGGCATACTAAAGCCTACATCCATGTGAGTTGTTCCATGTATGCTTGTGCAGGCAGTCCCATTCGTGGCCTAGCTGCACCCAGCCACTGCTCCCGATTTGCCATCCACGTAGGTGCGTGTCCTTGAACCCGCGCTGTGTTTGGACTCACACACCCGCACCCAGCTGGATTTTAAATTGGGAACCCTATTGATATGATTGGGGCTGCTGGCATGCAGATGGTACAGAACACCTGTGCCACCATCCGTGGTGTCATGAGGTGACGAGAACACGCTCCCAGCACACTAACCAAGCTGTCATCCCTCAGTCAAGGCTTCTGGTTGCTGCCCCCCAGGCAAGAAAACCGGTCCTGAAAATGCATATCGCCTGACTCCCCGGGGGTTCATTTTGGGGACCTTTTATGATGGTTGATACAATGATGAAGGGGTCAAGTACTCCTTTCATACGTTTTGTCAAAGGGCGTGCAACTGGTCCTCTTTAAAAGGGGCCCCACCAGGAACACATCCTCTTCTACCCTTTGCTCCTGTTGGACATCTTCTGTGAAGAAAAAAGCCCACCAAGTATGGGGGAGCACGTGACGCACAACCCTCCTTACTACGTGACGCAACTGGTGCTTGCCGATTGACCACCCAGGCACCGAGCGCAGTCACATGGGGCAGTCGTGACTTGGAGGCTACATGGCGTTTCGTCTCTTCATTACAAATGGCGGAGCACAGGGTAGGTGAGTATGTGCAGCTGCAGTCGCCACCGTTAAAGTGAACCTGTTACTGCATGGGCATGATTGGAATTGTGTTTTTTCTGAGGCCCCGTTCACACTTGTAGCTTGAAGTTCAAACGCTCAACAAGCAAAAACCAATTGTTTTCAATTGCCCTTGTTCACATCTGAGCGCCCTTTCCTTGTAGTAAAACGCCTGGTCACTCAAAAAGTACAGGAGCTACTTTTTAGGCAGAACTGAGCATTTTTGTCCCCATAGACACCTTAAAATCACATCATGAGCAGGGGCGGACAGACCATTTGAAAACTCGGGCACTGCCCGAGGGCCCGGGGTCAGTAGGGGGCCCCATGAGATTCCCCTTGTACCTTTTTCAAAGGCTTTTTTGAGTTTGGGCAAGGACACAGGGGCCCCATGATCCCCTATTGCCCGGGGGCCCCATGAGTTGTCAGTCCGCCCCTGGTCATGAGCATTTTTTTTTTCAGCTTCAACAGCATTTCTCTGCCCCTTTTTCAGCTTTCCACTGGCCACATTAGAAAACACCTGACAAACGCAAACGCTTGGAAAAAAATAAACGCCTGAAAATGTGCCGTTTAGGTGTGAATGTAGTCTGAATGTCAGAAGCGAGCAGCTTTGTGCAGTTTGGAGGTTGTCTCCAATGCCAGTACACCACTGACAAGCTGGTACCCAGGGGCGGACTGACCATTTGGAAACTCGGGCACTGCCCGAGGGCCCGGGGTCAGTAGGGGGCCCCATCAGATGCCCCTGGTACCTTTTTCATAGGCTTTTTTGAGTTTGGGCAAGGACACAGGGGCCCCATGATCCCCTATTGCCCGGGGGCCCCATGAGTTGTCAGTCCGCCCCTGCTGGTACTGCGCGATTATTTTTCTGTCAGGCTGTCTTTTTTGTTAGGCCGCATCTGCTGAGTCAGTAGAATCCGGGGCCACAAAAGCCTGGCATTGTGTACATGTTTATCTCAGGTACCCCCTTCATGACAATGACTGTGCAGAGCCAGGTTCCCTTCTCCTGACTAGAAACGTCCAGAGAGGATTCATCCGGCTGTGTGTCCAAACACGGCTTTTGTTACCAGGCCCGGCAGCAGAATGACCTCAGACTGCTACAAAATGGAGGCCGGGGTGTACATCATATATGTAGTGTGTGAATATATATCTCTTATGAACCTTGGTGCTCCCTGTGACTGTGTGTGCAGCCTTGTGCTGCCATATGTTGGTGTGTTACAAAACGAGTCTCTTTTTTTTTTACCACCTTGTATGTAATATTGGAACACAGAGTAAAACTCTGGCCTCTATCATATATTAAGCCTCCCCTCAATAGGGTGTACTGGTAAGGGGGCCCTATAGATTATAGAGAGGAGGCCACGGTTGAAATCTGTGGTCCAAGATGCCAAAATGAGAAGGGTCATTGGAATACTGGTGAGGGGGCCATGATGGCGGGGCCCAATAGATGATGGAGAGGAGGCCATGGTTGGCACTGCGTTCCATTGTGACAGACCGGGAATAGTCATGGGTGTACTGGTAAGGGGGCTATGTAGGTGGGGCCCTATAGATAAGAGAGGAGGCCATGGTTGAAATCTGTGGTCCAAAATGCCAAACCGAGCATGGTCATTGGAGTACTGGTGAGGGGGCCATGATGGTGGGGCCCAATAGATGATGGAGAGGAGGCCATGGTTAGCACTGCGTTCCATTGTGACAGACCGGGAATAGTCATGGGTGTACTGGTAAGGGGGATATGTAGGTGGGGCCCTATAGATGAGAGAGGAGACCATGGTTGAAATCTGTGGTCCAGTATGTCAAACAGAGTAGGGTCATTGGAGTACTGGTGAGGGGGCCATGATGGTGGGGCCACATAGATGAGTTGCCAGGGCAGTGGTGAATGAAGAGGAGTGCAAGGAACAGCTCTGACTGTCTGACCCACAGGGTGGGTTGCAGGGAATAGTGAGGGAAAGTTGATGGGCCAGGTGGGGAGAAAAAATTTTATAAGGCAGCTCCAGGGTTGTGGTCCACCATGGTGAAAAGTAAATGCTGTAGTAACAGGATTCCACGAGTGACTTGGCCCTTGGAGGGTTAGGTTTCAGGGTTAAGGTCAATGTTCTACATTTATTTTCAGAGTTGGGTTCAACAGCCCTGTATTGAGGGCTGCCATCGCTGCTCCCCCAACTATCTCTGGTCTGTGTACTTCCCTAGTAAATTAACTGGAGCAAGTATTCAGCTAGCAAGGGACCTGCCTCCAAGCCACGCCAATACTGGAGCCATTGGATGAACATGGCAGCCAGGACACAGCATTTCCAGGAGAGGTCAGTAATGGCTCTGTAAAACATTTTCTGCTTTCTCCTGGTTTGTCAGATTCCACAGTGGAGATCACCTTCGTTGCCATTGGCTCCCAGAATAGCCTTTTCACTTCTATTGATTTGGTTGACAAAATGATCCCAACCTCTGCTCGCGCTTTGAGTTCCTCCTCGCCCGTCCGTGGCAAGCTGTCCTGCCGCGTTCTTAAAAGGCAAAATCGCAGCTTCTTGTTCGTTTTTTTTTTTTTTAAGAGTCGTACTGGAATCTCGTAACCACCCCATCGACGTTAAGATCCTCATTTTAAATAGTAAAAGTAAATATTTGTGATGTGCGTCCCACCAGGAGAATGACGGGCGCTGAACTATGGGGACGCAAACACTGAAGTGCTTGATCTGTCCTCTGTCCTCTGACTGCAGTGCTGGGACAAGGTCATCCAGCACCCATGGAAAAGATGCCAAACTGTGCCCCCTTCCTGTTCATGATGTGTTGGCGCTTTATAAATACTGTATAATAATAATAATGATGTGCAAAGGAATGCGCTTGGGGGGGGGGGTGCAACCTGCACCTCCTCCCGGCTCTCTCCTACAAGAGTAGTGATGCTGCTGTCACCACTCCTGTCATCCTTGTATCAGAAGGAAGTCGGCACAGGGTACCCCCATCCCTGCAATAAAGCAATGCATATTTTTTTTTTTAATCTGCATCAAAAACTCAAGGACAGTAGATTATATGGGTTGCAATGGCATAGTTCACACCAGTGCAGAAGGAAACCTAGAACATGCTGCATTTTACATCACCGATCTTGTCTCTAAATATCACCCAAACCGTACTCTTCGCTCCTCGCAAGACCTCCTGCTCTCTAGCTCCCTTGTCTCCTCCTCCCATGCTCGTCTCCAGGACTTCTCCAGGGCTTCCCCCATCCTCTGGAACTCCCTACCCCAATCTATCAGACTATCGCCTACTCTGCTCACTTTTAGGCGCACTCTGAAAACCTATCTCTTCAGGGAGATCCTGCCCTCAGAAAATACTGAAATCCTCTACTCCTCCTACCAGTCCATCCCCCACAGTCATTACCTTTTGTACCACTATCCCCTCCCTCCTAGATTGTAAGCTCCCAGGATCAGGGCCCTCCTAACCCTCTTGTATTGAACTGTATTGTTGCTGTATTGTCTCCCGTTATATTGTAAAGTGCTGAGCAAACTGTCAGCGCCATATAAATCCTGTATAATAATAATAATAATTTTGTTCTGCACAGAACTGTAGTGGAATGCGGCAAAATGCACTGGAGTACATCTAAACTAAATGCGTAAACGTATTGGATGCACATTAAAAAATCCCCAGGAAACCTTAGGAAAAGAGATGGGGGGGGGGGGGGGGAGCACTGAAACGCATTGATAACTCATCAAACAACATGCAGAAATGCATCTACAGTGGTGTGTTTTTTGTTTTTGTTGTTTGTTTTTTTTTTTTTTTTTTTTTTTTTTTTGCATGGGGCTACTTTAATAATCTGAACTTTACGGTGTCGTTGGAACATCCCATTAAAGCAGAATGCCCTCCCAACAGGCTACGCCGCTCATATCGCCTCCCTGTGCAGTAGCGCAGTTGTCACTTGTCCTGTCAATGTCCTATAATAACCCTGAGAAGGAGGAGGCAGAGCAGCTGAACGCAAGTAACCTTGAGAGACGAGGCTGGTTCTTCCTCTGTCTATGGCCAGGCTGGGCCGGCTCCTTTCGCGCTCCCTGATTGGTCCCCAGCAGTCACCTCATCGGGGAGCTCTGATTCACTGTGTGTTCCCCCCCCCCCCTCGAGCTTCTTCCAGCAGAGGTGGAACTGCTGGAAGAGGTGGAGGGATGGGAGGGTGTGAGAAAGCCAGAGAGGGACACACAAAATTCCATGTCCCTGTACTTAGACTTAACATATCACCATTTCTCTGCGCTGCGTTGGAGTGTCAGCTCTTGGGGCAGGGGCGACTCCACGTTTTCTGGGAGTCGGGCTCTTGCGCCCGATACTTGGCGTACTCATGGAGTGCACTTTTGAAGGTACAGCATTAGCAAGCGGGCAAGCCACCCTGTAGTTTTATCTAGTTTCTGAACTTTGATGGGGGGGCATTAACTACCTAAATCCTAGTTCGTAAAATGTACTCTGAACCCTGCGATCTTTTGCATAACGCCAATTTTTTTTTTTTTTTCATATATACAATGCAATTGCAGACATTGACCAGCGCAATTATTATTATTTTTTTTCATGGGTGTTTGCAAACAAACCCAATATCGTCAGCGATTCGCCGAACCATAGTGTTGGCAAAGACTTTGCCAGCGTGCAGGATAATTTATGCAGCGAGGAGGCAAAAATGTATTTTCCTGCGAGGAAGGGGCGGTCCTTTCGCTATAAAAAATATTGCATAAATTTTGGATCTGCGATGGAAGCGAGACGTGGAAATACATTCTGTTTTTAAAAGGCAGCCAAATGCGTATTGACCTGTGATCAATTAAGGTGCAAACGATCAAAAAACAATCATCGATTAAAATGATTGAAAGATGCAATGATTGACTAGACAAATGATTAGACTCCATCTGAAAAGCAATCAACGAATCGAACTGTGTATTAAGATCGGTTTTTGACACAGTTATTCAGTTGATTGGCAATGATCAGCAGAATTCCACCGTGCCTGAGCGACTTGCTAGCATTGAAATTGATTGGAAGCTGTCCAAGCCAATCAAATGGAGGCTGCTGAGTTATATTTTTTAATTTAGTTTTTTTTTTTTCCTTTTCCATCAAATGTCAATCAATTATTGTTTCCATCACTATGATTTGGGAGGAAATATTGGCTGCTGATTGGACTTTTGCTCTGGTTGTTTTTGTAAATCCTGCACACTGTCTATGGGTAGCTGAAACAGCTGTAAGATCATTCCATAGATTGTACAACTTATGTCTCCGCCATAGACTGTAGTGCAGCATTGTACAATTGTATCGCACACGTCTCATCCAATGTTTCCAACATAATACAGTCCAATGTCAGGCTATTCAGCTTGTATCCTGCAAACAGTTTTTGATTTCAATTAATCGGATGCAGAATGCTAACAAAACAACCAAACTAGTATGCGGTGTATATCGGTAAGAGGATATGAATCCGAGACGCATTACATGGTTTAC